CGGTGGCCTTCAGCCTCTCAGCCCCGAGGCTCTGGAACTCCATCCCCAGTGCCTTCGCCGCTTCCTCCCTTTCCTCCTTCAAGGCCGGTCTCAAGACCTTTCTCTTTGACCTTCAGCCTTCAGCTCCCCTCTCGACTCTCTACCCCCTCCTCGCTCCCTCCCTTCCCTCCCCTCACCCTGACCATTTCCCCCCTCCTCGCTCCCTCCCTTCCCTCCCCTCACCCTGACCATTTCCCCCTCCTCGCTCCCTCCCTTCCCTCCCCTCACCCTGACCATTTCCCCCCTCCTCGCTCCCTCCCTTCCCTCCCCTCACCCTGACCATTTCCCCCCTCCTCGCTCCCTCCCTTCCCTCCCCTCACCCTGACCATTTCCCCCCTCCTCGCTCCCTCCCTTCCCTCCCCTCACCCTGACCATTTCCCCCTCCTCGCTCCCTCCCTTCCCTCCCCTCACCCTGACCATTTCCCCCTCCTCGCTCCCTCCCTTCCCTCCCCTCACCCTGACCATTTCCCCCCTCCTCGCTCCCTCCCTTCCCTCCCCTCACCCTGACCATTTCCCCCTCCTCGCTCCCTCCCTTCCCTCCCCTCACCCTGACCATTTCCCCCCTCCTCGCTCCCTCCCTTCCCTCCCCTCACCCTGACCATTTCCCCCCTCCTCGCTCCCTCCCTTCCCTCCCCTCACCCTGACCATTTCCCCCCTCCTCGCTCCCTCCCTTCCCTCCCCTCACCCTGACCATTTCCCCCCTCCTCGCTCCCTCCCTTCCCTCCCCTCACCCTGACCATTTCCCCCCTCCTCCCCTGACCATTTCCCCCCTGCTCGGGTCATGACCCAACTGTGCAGCGCCTTGGGACGTCCTCCTGACGTGAAAGGCGCTTTATAAATGGAATCTTGTTGTTGTTGTTGTTGATGAGTAGTTCAGGACATGTGTACATGTGACCACCAGGAAGGTGGAAGGCAAACTAGATGGACTTGGTCTTTTTTTGTGTAGCATTTCTTATGTTCTTATGTAAAATGAACAAACAACTCTTAACTTTGTCTCACAATGTAAACATTCCCCTTATACAATCAGCTCCGGCTGCTCATCCACAGCTCAGAAACAGTGTAAAGCTCCCAATCAAGGGAAACGTATCCAGTCAATTCCCAGCAAATTAGTTTTCCCCCTTTCCTTTGCATGTCTCTGGATTCCACTGTGCAGCACCCCCGCCACCCCCCACCCCCCCGGCATACAGTTGTTAGTTGATTAGCGGATGGTAATAAATCCCCCCCCAAAAAATAAATTACTCACTGAGTCCATGGTTGTTTGTGGGACGCTGCTGAGCACAATTAGCTGCTGCGTTTCGCCCACAAAATACACAGTCAATTCACTTTACAATATATTCTGTGAAGCACTTTGAGATGTGATAAGACGTTATATTAAATGCAAAGATTATTAGTGTTATTATTATCTGAAAGTGTGAGCAGGATCCCAAGCTGGGTCACCCTGGGTGTACAGTGTGGCTGGGTGTGTCACCCCCATCCTCACCCGGCTCTACTGGCTTCCTATCACTCAGAGGTTACAATTCAAGATCCTGGTCCTCACCTTCAAAGCTCTCCATGGTCTCGCACCCCCCTACCTCTGCGACCTCCTAACCCCCTTTCAACCTGTCCACTCCCTCTGCTCAGCGGACTCTGGCCTGCTTCACGTCACCGCCTTGGCAGGCGGGCCTTCAGGCTCTCTACCTCTGGATCTCCATCCTACAGTTCCTTCGCCTCGCCCACTCCCTCACCTTCTTCAAAACCCTCCTCTTTGACTGAACCTTCGATCACCCTACTACCCTACTTGTGGAGTCCTGTGCTCAGTGGTTAGAGCACTCGCTTTGCAAGCGAGAGACCTGAGTTCAATTCCAGGCAGAGGGCGAAACATTGGGCAAGTTTCCTTACTCCACACAGAGCCTAATAATAATCCCTCCAAAACAAAACAATAATAAATTGGTCATTTTCAATCCACGACTGTTTGTGGGACATTGCTGTGCGCAATTGGCTGCCGCGTTCACCCACAAACATAGTCAATTCACTTACAGTCTATTCTGTGAAGCGCTTCCTCCCGACGTGAAAAGCACTATATCAAATGCCAGGATTATTATTATTATTATTACTACCCGCTCTGCCCTCATACCCTCCTGAATCATTAGCTTGGGTCCAAATCCCTGACTGTCCAGCATTTTGGAACATCCTCCCGAAGTGAAAGGCGCCGTGTAAATGAAACTTGTTGTTATGTGCAGTTGGGTGTGTATGCAGTGTGTGCTCGCAGTGTGGGTGTGCAGCGTGTGTATGTGTGAAGTGTATGTGTGCAGTATGTGTGTGCACTGTGTGTGTGCGCTGTGTGTGCAGTGTGTGTGGTGCAGTCTGTGTTGTGAGCGCGTGTGTGCGCGGGCTATAACAATGCTAGTGTGTGTGACAGGGCAAAGTGCAGAGCCAGACCACCACCGGAGATGCTTTTGTGCCGAAAAGAGCGGAGCTGGTTCCGAGCTACAAACCGGTGCCCCGAGTGGAGGAGCCTCCGGGGCAGCAGGACTTCACCACAGTCACCAGTCAGGCCTACAGGTCAGTGTGGCTCAGCGTGGGGACCACTGTCCCAGTGGGAAGGGGTGGGGTGGGGGGGTCTGAGACAGGCTGCCTGTCGTTCTTCTCTTGTGAAACTCTGAAAGGTTAAAGGTCTCCCTCTCTCTCTCCAGGGCTGTCCCTCTGCCCCTGTGCAGACTCCAGCTCTACCTCCGGCAGCAGCGTCTCAAGAGCATCCGGCAAAGCCACCTCAAACCCCCTCCACCATCACCACACAGTGACCCAACCCCTCCCTCACCTTAGTGACACACTGAGCCCAACCCCACTCAGTCACTCTGACATCCTCTCTCTCCCCGAAACAGAAAGCTCCAAACCACAAGTAATGAAACACAACAGAGCCACGTTAAGATAGAATAATAATCCTCGCATTTGATACAACGCCTTATCATGTCTTCGAGACGTCTCAAAGCGCTTTACAGAATATACGGTAAAGTGAATTGACTGTACATTTTGTGGATGAAACGCGGCGGCTGATTACGCACAGCAGCGTCCCACAAACAGCCATGGATTGAGTGACCAAATTTTTAAAAAAATTCCAAGGGATTATTACCCCCGGAAAAGCGATCCATCAATCGTCTAACAACCGGATTCCTACTTACTGCTGGGTAAACAGGCATGTGGAGTAAGGAAACTCGGCCAACGTTTCATTCTGCCGGGAATCATACCCAGGTCCTCTCACTTGTGCCACATTGCCTTCCACCACCTCTGGAACATGGTCAGACTACGGCACTACCTCACCCCTCACGCGGCTGAAACCCTGGTCCACGCCTTTATCACCTCAAGGCTGGACTATGGGAACTCTCTCCTCGTCGGCCTTCCCGGCCCTTCCTCCACACTGCAGGTCATTCAGAACTCTGCAGCTCGTGTACTGTCCCGCACCAGACACCGAGACCACATCACTCCCACCCTCGCCCTCACCCTCGCCCTCACCCTCACCCTCGCCCTCGCTCGCCTCCACTGGCTCCCCATCCCCCAGAGGATCGATTTCAAGATCCTCATCCTCACCTACAAGGCCATTCACGGCCTCGCTCCCTCCTATCTCTCCGACCTACTATCCCCTGCCCTTACCCTCCGTTCCTCTGGCTCCGGTCTGCTCCACATCCCCCGCCCCAACTGCCCCACCATCGGTGGCCTTCAGCCTCTCAGCCCCGAGGCTCTGGAACTCCATCCCCAGTGCCTTCGCCGCTTCCTCCCTTTCCTCCTTCAAAGCCGGTCTCAAGACCTTTCTCTTCAACCTTCAGCCTTCAGCTCCCCTCTCGACTCTCTACCCCCTCCTCGGTCCCTCCCCTCACCCTGACCATATCCCCCCAATGCTCGGGTCCTGACCCAACTGTGCAGCGCCTTGGGACGTCCTCCCGATGTGAAAGGCGCTCTATAAGTGCAATCTTGTTGTTGTTGTTGTTGAGTGCTCTGGCGACTGAGCTACGAGACTCCACCATACAGATACAGTGAGCCCAACCATCAACATCAACCCCATTCACCCCCACCTCAAAAGAAAGCTGCAAAACCACGTGTAACGAAACACAACAGAACCAGGTTAAGCTAGAGTTATAATTCACCTCCCGATGTGTGCACATATCAAGCTGGAGGCATTACAGGATGGAGGGGGTTACCTTCAGTTGTGGTTGAATCTGTAGCATGATTGCAATAACACCATGTAAACCAGGAGGATATTTTACTTAAAAATACCATTTTACTGTCTTGTACGAAGATTGTATGATGTAAAAAATAAACCCGATCAGCATCGACCCACACAGAACACTGTGAAGCAACTAACAAACCCGTGCCCACCCACCCCGCCCACCCACCCACCCACCCAGCTCAACCACCGTCTCAGAAAGAAACACAATCTGCCGGAGACTGCCTGACACAGTGTGCTGGGATAAGAAAACTCGCATTTTGATGGTGATTTATCAAAATGCGGAATGTCTCGAGCCACTTCATAGCAATTATCGTCACGTGTTCTTTGTTGGCCAATCCGGTGGCCATTTTATGCACGGCAAGTCCCACAAACGCACACAGCCGTGAGGAGAATGGCTGATAAAGATAGAGGATCGCTGGCAGTAAAGAAACCCTTCCTCCCCTACAGGTTGAGTGCCGTCCCGCACACCTGAACAGTACGCTCCGTCTTCTTTTCCCCGAGCAAGGAAATCCCAACTGCAAGTGGAAAGAACACTCCCAATCCCGAATCCAATTGTCGAAAGGTTGACGTGAGAGACCCGGAAGCGACTCCACAGCACCTCCTGCTGGTCAGCAGTGCAGACACTCACAGCATGTCAGTCACCTCCTCCTTCACACCACACACAGAAGCACCTCATGTATCACTGCTGACCACATGGAGACGTTGCTTAAAAAAAAGCATAGAAACCATACAAACTTCTCAGAATTTACAAAGCAAAATATTCACAGGAATCCATCCACTTTAATATGAAAAGACGAGAGACTGTGGGCTCACGTTCCTCGTCTGCTCCTGGTTACGCCCAGCGGCCACAGCGCTCCGCACAGCTTCTGCCACAGGAAGAACAATACCGGAGAGTTTTGTCGACACTCAGCACAAGGTCCACCAGGTGTCCAGACCAGCATCCAGTGTGCGCTCAGTGAAGGACAGGGCTGTACACTTCACATGTCCTCCACGCTCCACTTGTACGCCATGTCCTGCACCGCCTTCTGGTCTGCCAGACGTGCATAGCGCTTCTGCTCAAAGCCATTCGACCTGAAAGTTTTTCACATGTTATTTTATAACATCGAAAGCGCTTCCCAGGGAACTGCTGTCACAGGGATTACTGTATTTCTAAACGTGACGGCCAATTTGCACACAGCTGAAGTCACACAAATGGCCATGAAGTGAATGAGTAATTTATCCAGTGGATTGTTTTAACATCCACCAGAATAGGCACAGACTGAACCTGGGTTTGACATCTCATGCAAAGGACAGCAGCTCTAACAATGCAATACCCACCCCACACCCATACACACCTGCAGACACACACCCCACACACACACAAAACAACACTGAAGTGCCAGCCTAGACTGTGAGCTCCAAAGTCCCTGCTGTGTAACTTGAATCCACAAACCTATGCGCGCACACGCACACACACACATCAGACAGCTGTACCAGTATTGAGTGCACGGAAACAAGGTTAAGTGGACCCTGAGCACATTGAAGCTGTGGCTCCAACGAGATCTCATCAGCCTTTCAGAGGGAAAGTCAGACACGGGCTCAGAAATCAGTGGACGATCTAAAGCTCAGATTGAAAGACATTTAAAATAAAGATTAAACGTTATGTTACCTGTCCACGCCGTCCCAGCGGTATCCTGGGTATATGTTAAAGCGGTTTGGAGGCGGCATAGGCCCGCTGTAGCGTGGTTTCTCTGCAAAGGGAAACCGAGACCTTTACCCAAACATCTCGTTTGATCAGTCAGAGGCAGTTAGTAATAATAATAATCCTTGCATTTGATATAGTGTCTTATCACGTTGTCGATACGTCTCAAAACACTTCACAGGATTTATTGTAAAGTGTTTTGACTGTATTTTGTGGGTGAAACGTGACAGCCAGTTTGCACGTAGTAATGTCCCACAAACAGTCGTGGAGCGAGTGACCAATTTTTTATCTGAGGGATTGTTGGCAGAGAGAGAAACTCCCTCTTTTCAAACAGCGCTATGGGATCTTTAGCTTGGTTTAACGTCTCATGTGAATATCGGCTCAGATCAGCTGCCATATCAACCTGTCCGCTCGCTCCGCTAGCAAGCTCTGGCGACCCTACCATTGGCGGTCAGGCCTTCAGTCTATTTGCCCCCACCCTCTGGAACTCCATCCCACAGACCGTTCTCCTTGCTCCTCTCCCTTGCCTCCTTCAAGACCCTTCACTTGGGCTGCGCTTTCGGTTACCCTCCTAACCCTACCCTCCACCACTCCTGAACCCAACCCACGTCTCGGATCCAAACCCTGACTATTCAGTGCTTTGGGACGTCCTCCAGATGTGAAAGGCAGATGCTGTATGTGTTGTGTTGTTGTCTGACCTGAGTTCTGTCCGCACGTGTACACTGAACTCACCGTTCCTGTTCTTGGCCTCTTTCTCCTTTTTCCTCCTGAGCAGCCCCGCCATGGGGTCTCCATCTCGCTCTCGTTCCCTCAGCATCCGCTCCAGGTCCTCGTCATCCGCGTGGCGTGTCAGCGGTTTCTGCATCTCATGCAGCGCAGCCTCAGTGTTTCTCTTCTGCTGCTCTCCCTGAGCCAGGCTGGCGAGCGTCAGAGAGGGGGAGAGAGAAAGAGGAAGAGAGAGAAGCAGAGAGAGGCAGAGAGAGAGAAAGAGGGAGAGAGGCATAAATAGGGAGAGAAAAGGTGGCAGAAAGAGAAAAACAGGTAAATAGACAGTGGAAGAGAGGAAGAAAAATATTAATAATATTGAGATGTCTCAAAGCGTTTCACAGGATATACTGTAAAGTGAATCAACTGTATATTTTGTGGGAGAAATGTAGTAGCCAATTGCGCACAGCAGTGTCCCACAAACAAGTCGTCGTTTGAGTAACCAATTATTATGCTTTTTGAAGGGATTATTACTCCCAAATTATTAACCCAACAGAATATATTATATATATATAGAATAATAATATTCCTGCCGGGAATCAAACCCAGGTCCTCTCTCTTGCAGTATATAGTGTGACCCATTAACTAACAATGACAGTTAAGCAGAAGGTTTGTTGATTGGTCCTTATTTAAAAAAGGACATACTTGCCCCAGAGGGGGTGCAGCGTAGATTCACTCGGTTAGTTCCTGGGATGAGGGGACTGACCTATGAGGATAGGCTGAATAAACTAGGGCTGTATTCTCTAGAGTACAGAAGAATTAGGGGAGAACTTATTGAAATCTTTAAGATTCTTAAAGAGCTGATAAAGTGGTCACTGAGGGACTGTTTCCCCGGTGGGAGAATCTCTAACCAGGGGTCACAGTCTGAAAATTAAGGGTCAGTCTTTTAGAACAGAGTTGAGGAAACATTTCTTCGCTCAGAGGGCAGTGACTTTATGGAATTCACTCCCCCAGAAGGGCTGTAGATGTCAGTCCTCGAACATCTTCAAGGCTGAGACTGAGAGATTTTTTAAAAATAGAGGGATTAGGGGTATGGAGATAGGGCAGGTAATTAGAGTTTAGTCTGAAGATCAGCCATGATCTTATCGAATGGCGGGGCACAGGCTCGAGGGGCTGAATGGCCGACTCCTAATTCTTATGGGGAGATGTCTCACCCTTTCCCCCACTGAGCATATTTTTCAGCTGTCGCCGCCATCTCATTCTGTTTCTTCCGGTGTTCAATCCTCTCCTGGCGCAGATCTCTCTTCTTCCCGGATTTATCTCGGAAAACAGTTGTGGCGTTTTTCGATTCATCTGTTGTGTTCGGGGAGAAGGGGTGGGGGGGGAAGAAGGGAGGATGAGAGGGAGGCAGAGGGGGTAGAGAGGGGGGGGGATAGAGAGGGGGAGAGAGGGGGATGAGAAAACATTTGTGAAGTTTCCCAGATGATAGTTTCTGTGGCTTTTGGGGAGTTTGACGGTAAAACCTGTTTCTGGGGCGGCGGCGGATACTGATTCCTGATGCTGAGTCTTTTAAACACCGTTACATTTATTTAAATTTAAAAAAATAGAAATTAAGTAATTTCTGCCTCAGGGTCCCTTTAACCCTTTCGCTGCGCATGCTCCCAGCGCCGCCCGGGCAGCTGTGCTCCGGCCCCCCCCCCCCGCCCAGCACTCTAACGGAAGCTTACTGGAACTCCCAACCAGGCATCGCTCGGATATGGAAGGGAAGTCGGACTGGGATGTCGGAAAACTCTCGTTAATTCTGCCTGATATAAGCAGGTATCTGCAGCTCGTGTACTGTCCCACACCAGGCTTCGGGACCACATCACTCCCACCCTCGCCCTCACCCTCGCCCTCGCTCGCCTCCACTGCTCCCCATCCCCCAGAGGATCGATTTCAAGATCCTCATCCTCACCTACAAGGCCATTCACGGCCTCGCTCCCTCCTACCTCTCCAACCTACTATCCCCCTACTTACCTGCCCGTACCCTCCATTCCTCTGGCTCCGGTCTGCTCCACATCCCCCGCCCCAACCGCCCGACCATCGGTGGCCTTCAGCCTCTCAGCCCCGAGGCTCTGGAACTCCATCCCCAGTGCCTTCGCCGCTTCCTCCCTTTCCTCCATCAAGGCCGGTCTCAAGACCTTTCTCTTTGACCTTCAGCCTTCAGCTCCCCTCTCGACTCTCTACCCCCTCCTCGCTCCCTCCCTTCCCTCCCCTCACCCTGACCATTTCCCCCTCCTCGCTCCCTCCCTTCCCTCCCCTCACCCTGACCATTTCCCCCTCCTCGCTCCCTCCCTTCCCTCCCGTCACCCTGACCATTTCCCCCCAATGCTCGGGTCCTGACCCAACTGTACAGCGCCTTGGAACATCCTCCTGACGTGAAAGGCGCTCTATAAATGGAATCTTGTTGTTGTTGTTGTTGCCTCTGGAGCAGAGCGGAAGCAGCTGATCCAGACAAGTCCAGTATTGGAGACACACAGACAAACAGCCCAGCGCAGAGGACAATCATACAGAACAGTTAGAGCCTGACTGAGCAGCTATACCTGCCAGGTGCTCCCCCGCCGTGTCCCGCAATCTCTGCTCCTCCCTCTCTTGTCTCAGGACATCGGCTGACAACAGACCAACCTTCCTGCTCGCAGGCGAACGGCTCTCCTGTGAACCAACAGCAAGTCAGGGCTTTCTCCACAACGCTGTGTACAGTGAGTGTGTGTGTATGTGGGTATGTTGTGTGTGCATGTATAGTGAGTGTGTTTGTGCATTTGAAGTGAGTGTGTGCATGTGCATGTGTGGTGTGTGTGTAGTGTGCGTGTGGAGTGTGCGTGGTGCATTTGGAGCGTGCCTGTGTAGTGCGGGTGCAGTGTGTGTGTACGTGTGGGGAAAAACTCCAACCAGGGCTTTACTGCAGCTGATCCACAACCCTCTCCCCTCACGCGAAAATCAACCGGCCATGTACCCGCACAAAACCCTATCGACCTCTGTCCCAATCGGCAGCTGCAGGGAGCTGGAGGCTCTGACATGATCTCCCTGAAGCCTTGTACCGTGCGCCCAGTGACAAGCAGCTGATGTGTCACTGACCCGTTGACGCGCTTTCCCCTCGTGAGAGGACTGTATAGATGCAAGTAGTTGTTGTTGTTGATCGCCGTCTGTACCTTTCCACCAGGACTCGTGGCTCGGCTGTTTCCTCTTCGATCAGTGATGTGTCCACGCCGCGGGGGTGAAAGGTCAGGTTCGGCATTCCTCCTCCGGGGGGGGGAAAGGTCGGAGTCAGAGGAATATCCTGAGCCCTTCCGTGGTGGGGAGAGGTCGGAGTCGGAGTCGTGTCGGCAACGCGGGGCGGCTGCTGATCTTCCCTCCCTCTCGCCTGCTGCTCGGGAATACGGAAAGCAAATTTTAAACTCCTATCGATGGAAATTTAGGGTAGAAAAAAACACTGTCCATACAAAGCATTTAATTTACAGGACTGAACTGTACTAATCATTAATTCACTGCAACATTTAACGCAGTCAGAGGGGACCTTGCCTTGCGAGCACAAACGTACCTTTCACACTGCTCCGCTTCCTCGCGGCAGCTGAATTGGAGTCTGGAGAAGGATTACGTCCTTTCCGAGGAGGCGACAGATCGGAATCAGAGCCCAATCCAGAGAGCGAGTCTGAAGAGAAGTGGGATTTTTTGGAAACGACTGAAAAGTCGTCACAATTCTGCCGAGTCCTGGATGGGGATGGGTCTGCAGACCCGCTGTGCTGTGACCTCTCTCCGGCTCGTTTTTCAGGCGAAAGTTCCGGAGAATCGTGCCGTCCCCTCCTGGGAGGTGAAAAGTCACTTGTTTTCCGATCAAGTGGAGGATTATCTCCCTTTGCTATCCGTGCAGATTCACCAGCATCAGGTAAAGCGCTGCGGACAGTCAAGCATTTATAGCAGTTAGAACCAACAACAACAAATGACATTTGTAAAGTGCCTTTCACGTCGGAAGGACATCCCAAGACCCAGGGATTTGGACCCGAGCTGGGGGCTGGGATCAGGAGGGGTGGAGGGCAGGGAGGGAGCCAAAGGCATGATTGAAGAGGAGGATCTCGAGGCGGGCCTTGAAGGAGGCGAGGCAGGGAAGGAGCGAGGCGAAAGGATTGTGGAATGAAATTCCAAAGGGTGGGGGCAGAGTGGCTGAAGGCCTGACCGTTAATGGTGGAGCAGACCGAGCGGGAGACATGGAGCAGGATGGAACCTGCTGAGCAGAGGGAGCGGACAGGTTGATATGGCCCCACAGAACATTTCACTTTATCGCAAGAAACACTCAGCAGTTCATGACAGAGTCATCAACCTGAAAAATTAACTCACTTTGCTCTCTCCATAGATGCTGCCTGACCTGCTGAGTGTTCCCAGAGACTTGTTTTTATTTCAGATTTCCAGCTACTGAAGTATTTTGCTTTCACTGACACTGAGCCGGGGGCAGGTGGGGGGGGAATGGGAGGTGACTGTAAGCACGACAAAAAGGAGGGTCTTTAGGCAGGATTTGAAAATGTGGAAGGAAGGAAGACTAATAGACTATTTCCCTGTGGAACTCCATGGTTGAAAAAAAGAAAGCGAGTTAGGCAGCATAACGACACAGCTCGGAGTGAGGTCACTGGTCAGCAACGTGGAGGCCAGCACATTTGGGGCCCACAGTACCCCGTGTAGTGAGTGTCACCAAGTGTCAGGGGAAGGTCCTACACAGAGCGGCTGAGCATGGGGAGGGGTGTGAATGTGAAGACAACACAGCAGAATCTTTACATACATACTGGACATCAGCAATTGACAGACACTTACCTGCCTGTGTGCAGGGGTGGCTCAGATTCGTTCTCATCTACAATAGGAAACAAGCAAAGGTTACACGTCTGCCCACAGAAGGGAGGTGGGGCGGGGGGGCTCCCTGTCTCTGAAAAACAACAGGGCTCAGAGCACGCGACAGTAATAGGAAGACTTTCAATCCATCCAGTCTGTTCTGCCAATTTATTAAATGGTAGCAGATATATTTATCATATGTCCCTGGCTTTTATCCATATTAGTTGCCAAATATCGATCTGCCTTTTAAACATCCCCGTTATTGGAGTGTGGAATGGTTCAATATCTCCCTGAAGGCTGGAGGAGGATGACCCTAATTTATCTTACTGGTAAATACTAGCCCAGGAACATTGATCTCATAAACAACTTTCAGATTTAGAGTTAACAACTGGCACCGCCTTCCATCACCTCCAGAATGTCGCCAGACTACGGCACTACCTCACCCTTCACGCGGCTGAAACTCTGGTCCACACCTTTATCACCTCAAGGCTGGACTATGGGACCTCTCTCCTCGTCGGCCTTCCCGCCCTCCCTCCACACTGCAGGTCATTCAGAACTCTGCAGCTCGTGTACTGTCCCGCACCAGACACCGCGACCACATCACTCCCACCCTCGCCCTCACCCTCACCCTCACCCTCACTGATTCCTGATGCTGAGTCTTTTAAACACCGTTACATTTATTTAAATTTTAAAAAAATAGAAATTAAGTAATTTCTGCCTCAGGGTCCCTTTAACCCTTTCGCTGCGCATGCTCCCAGCGCGCCCGGGCAGCTGTGCTCCCCCGCCCCCCCCCCGCCCAGCACTCTAACGGAAGCTTACTGGAACTCCCCAGCAGGCATCGCTCGGATATGGGGAAGTCGGACCGGGATGTCGGAAAACTCTCGTTAATTCTGCCTGATATAAGCAGGTATCTGCAGCTCGTGTACTGTCCCACACCAGGCTTCGGGACCACATCACTCCCACCCTCGCCCTCACTCCCCCCCTCGCTCGCCTCCACTGCTCCCCATCCCCAGAGGATCGATTTCAAGATCCTCATCCTCACCTACAAAGCCATTCACGGCCTCGCTCCTCCTACCTCTCCACCTACTATCCCCTACCTACCTGCCCGTACCCTCCTTCCTCTGGCTCCGGTCTGCTCCACATCCCCCGCCCCAACCGCCCTACCATCGGTGGCCTTCAGCCTCTCAGCCCCGAGGCTCTGGAACTCCATCCCCAGTGCCTTCGCCGCTTCCTCCCTTTCCTCCATCAAGGCCGGTCTCAAGACCTTTCTCTTCGACCTTCAGCCTTCAGCTCCGCTCTCGACTCTCTACCCCCTCCTCCCTCCCTCCCTTCCCTCCCCTCACCCTGACCATTTCCCCCCTCCTCGCTCCCTCCCTTCCCTCCCCTCCCCCTGACCATTTCTCCCCAATGCTCGGGTCCCGACCCAACTGTACAGCGCCTTGGGACGTCCTCCCGACGTGAAAGGCGCTCTATAAATGAAATCTTGTTGTTGTTGTTGTGGGCAGAATTGGCTTAGAGCAGTTAATGAGAATGACACACTGAGGAGGGCTGGACACAAGCACTAAACTGCATTGAATTACTTCTAAAGATTATCGATCCAGCAATGATTCTGTTCCCTAATATGTCAAGTTCAAACAAAAAGAAAGATCACAAATCACAAACTTCTGGGATTCAAAGATTTTACTCGAGACAAAAAAATTCTACCACTTGGTTCAGTTAGAATTTACCCCATTGGGTGGCCGCACTGAGGGCCCAAGCACTCTCTGCTCTCTCCTCAGCTCAGCCTCCAGCTACTAACATCCTGTCACAGACTCGGAAAAAACCCTGCAGATTCAGATAGGATTTGGGTATCTGTCTGCAACAAGTTCATCACAGACCTGCTAGAATCTTCCATTTACTGCTCGATCGAAACTCTTCCATTCGTCGAACAATCTCGGGCCTTTCATCAATGAACTCCACCACCTGAAAGCAACAACAACAAATTATACATGCAACGCAGAGAACGAACAAAAGGAAATCTTAAATAAAAGCAAGTCGCTGGGAACATGGAGCAGGTCAGGCAGCATCTATGCAGAGAGGAAAGTGAGTTAACGTTTCAGATCAATGACCTTTTATCAGAACTCAAATGTGAAAGGTTATCAACCTGATACGTTAATTCACTTTCCTCTGTCCATAGATGCTGCCTGACCTGCTGAGTGTTGCCAAAGAACGAACAAACTGATGGAACTGGTTTCAATGGCTGATCAGGCGCCTACCATTCTGTCACACTGTCCCTATGGCGCAACAGTACCAGTGTAAGTAATGCAGAGAACATTGCTTCCCTTTCTACGCTAGATTCAATTCAATAAACACTGGCCAATTCCTGATAAGTGACACGGACACACAAACAAGTTATGAGGCGTGTCATTGTACATGAACCTACCAGGGGGGCTTCATCCTCTTCCTCACACTCTCTCTCCTCCTCATTCTTCACCTGCATCAGGTTCTTCCAGGTCACATCATCGTCCACAATCCGCATCCTATAGTAACAGAGCAGAGAGCTCTTCAACCAGCCCATCACCAACCCCAGCCCAGCATGTTCACAATGGCCACAATTTCATTTGAAGGGAGGCAGCCTGTGGCTCAGTTGATCACATCCTCGTCTCTGTGGGCTGGAAGTTGTCGGTTCGAGCCCCACGTCGGGAACTTTTGAGCTCACAATCCAGGTGCAGTGCTGGGGGAACTTTGGATGAGACGTTAACCCAAGGTCTTGCCTGTGCCTATTCAGGTGGACATTAAAGACCCTGCGAGTTTCTCTCCCGGTTTCCTTGCCGACAAAACCGTGTGGGTAAGATGGCCACCACACCTCAAACAGCCACTACACCCGACAGCGACTCCTCGCAAAGAATTCTGAGACACAGAGGCATCATGACTGCGCCTGAGCTTGTGGGGAGGGATTCACTCTGTGACCATAACTGCTAGTAATAATCTTTGCATTTGATACAGCGTCTTATCACATCATCGAGACGTCTCAAAGCGCTTCACAGGATATACTGTAAAGTGTAGTGACTGTGTGTTTTGTGAGCAAAACAGTTACAGGCCAAAAGGGTTACATTAGTTTTTACATAATTACATAATTGTCATGTGGGTCAGTAACCCGAGGACACCGATTTAAGATAACTGTTAAAAGAAACAGAGGGGAGGTGAGGATAACATTTTCACCCCAGCGAGGTGTTGGGATCTGGAAGGGTAGTGGAAGCCGATTCAATAACAACTTTTAAGAGAGAAGTGGATGGTATTTGGCGAGGACAGGATTGCAGGGCTGTGGAGAGAAAGCCGCCAGTGGGATTGAGTTGGAAGCTCTTTTAGGAGCCGGTGCAGACACAATGGGCCGAATGGCCTCTTTCTCTGCTGTATGATACTATGAGTCTATGATTAGGCCATGGGGTGTGGTGCTGCAGGGAGAGGGTCAGGGGCCAAGGGGGCAGGGTGACAGGGTCAGGGGGAGAGGGTCAGGGGGAGGGTCAGTGGGAGAGGGTCAGGGGGAGAGGGTCAGTGGGAGAGGGTCAGTGGGAGAGGATCAGGGGGAGAGGGTCAGGGGGAGAGGGTCAGGGGGAGGGTCAGGGGGAGAGGGTCAGTGGGAGAGGGTCAGTGGGAGAGGATCAGGGGGAGAGGGTCAGGGGGAGAGGGTCAGTGGGAGAGGGTCAGTGGGAGAGGGTCAGGGGGAGAAGGTCAGGGGCCAAGGGGGCAGGGTGACAGGGTCAGGGGGAGAGGGTCAGTGGGAGAGGGTCAGGGGGAGAGGGTCAGTGGGAGAGGGTCAGTGGGAGAGGTCAGGGGGAGAGGGTCAGGGGGAGAGGGTCAGTGGGAGAGGGTCAGTGGGAGAGGGTCAGGGGGAGAGGGTCAGTGGGAGGGGATCAGGGTGACAGGGTCAGGGGGAGAGGGTCAGTGGGAGAATCACAGCAGGCGCTGTGCGCGGGGAGAGGCCCACAGCCGTCAGTCCCCTCCACCCCGGCCTGAGTGAGAACTCGAGGCCGAGGCTTGAGGCCTGAGGCTGCTGTGAGGCTCGCACTCACCCTCCGGTTTTCATCACCTTCACTTTCTTCTTCTTTTTCCCGGCGGGGGCCTCTCCATCGCACAGGTAGCGCTTCAGGTATTCCTCCTTACTGACAGCCGCCATTGCCAGCCCGCCAATAACCCGCCCCCATAGCAACCTGGCACGTGACCGGCACCGCCATCTTGGTAAAGGTCTTGTGACGCCAGCTGTCAGCCCCTGCCGCCATCTTGGGAAAGGAGACATCTACGTCAGCAATCAGCCACTCTGCCGCCATCTTGGTAAAGGAAACGTGCTATCAACTAGGTGGTATATCAATTGCTATTTATCACTTATCAAGCTCACAGCCTGTGTTACAGGTCAAACCTGTACCCCTCAGCACATAAGAGTTATCAGGAGAGGCAAGAGAAGCTGAGATTATTATTCTCCTCAGAGCAGAGAAAGTTAAGAGGACACTTAATAGAAGTTTTCAAAATGATGAGGGGATTCGATAGAGTGAACAAGGAGAAACTATTCCCACTGGCGGGTGGGTCGGTAACCTGAGGACACCGATTTAAAATAGTTGTTAAAAGAAACAGGGGAGTTGAGGAGAAATGTTTTCACACAGCGAGTTGTTGGGATCTGAGTGAGAGACATGGGTTCGATTCCTGACCACTGAGCTACAGGACTCCACAAATAGCATGAAACCTGCAGCCTGTTCCCATTGTTTAGCATTAAGTTTATCATTATGTCGTGTTGCCTGGTTGAAAGAATCATTCATAATAATCCTTGCATTTGATACAGCGCCTTTTAACCTCCACTTCACCCCCTCCTGCTCAACCTCTGCTGACTTCTCCTCCCTCCTCATCCACTCCCCCACCTACGACCGTGGCCACCCCCTTGACCTGGTGATCACCCGGGGCCTCACCATCTCGGACATCATCATCGTCAATAAAGCCAGCTTGGACCAGCACTTCATCTCCCTCAACACCTCAGTACCCCTTCCCCTTTCCCAACCCTCCACCATCACATACCGTCCATGGNAAAAAATTTCCTCCTTCTTCCTCCACTGTCCTGGAGTCATCTGAACTCCTACACCTCTGGCCCTCATTGACCGATCTACCCTCCTCACTCTCCTTTCTCCACAACCCCCTCTCCTCTATTCTGGGCTCCCTTGCCCCCCTCACCTCCTGAACTGCCTCATACTTCCATAAATCCCCCTGGTACACTAGCCACCTTCGTTCCCTCAAGGCACAAGTGCGAGCTGCCGAACGTGCCTGGACCAAATCCAAACTAACGGTCCATCGGCAGATTTGGCTTCATCGACACAGACACAATGGGCCGAATGGCCTCCTTCTGTGTTGTATAATTCTGTAATTCTAAGAGGGGTATTTACCCACATTCCAATTTCCTTTACTGCCCCTTCTCAGCCCTCAGAGACGCTAACCCAGGATGAAGGGCATTATAATAAAGTCAAGTAGTTATTGAAAATTTCTGGGTTTCTGTTTCACACACGCAGCGTTCGGCGATTTTTAATATTTTCCACAGCTACATCAACATTTCATTTCTAAACCAAAATGTGACATAGCTTCTCAGAATGCGTGTCATTTTAACGGGTCTGCTTTAAAAACAAGCTGTGTGGTTAGCAATTTCCAATGCTATAACCTTTAGGGCCTGAAGGTCACTTATACAGTAGTTTCAATATTAAATGCAATCAACATGTACTGACATTCCTGGATATAAATTACTATGATATAACCGTGCAAACTGGAATTCCCCTGAAGATGAGTTTCCCGAAATCCTCAGTGTATAATCTAAAGTGAAGACAAAGTCTAACGTAGTAAGTGAGCAAGGCAAGCAGGAAGGGACAAAGACTGAGTCACGAAGCGTTTCCATGCAATAAACCATGTTTATTAAACACAAAAGAATGGTTAGTAACACCAAAATGAAAGGTCCACTGCACCAAACTCATACACTTGGAAATCTGGAACTGCCCTCCCAATCCAAAATAGCCCCGAAAACAAGGTCACAAAGCAGCCTCTTGATTGCGGTCAGAATTGAAATGCTCTGGTCAGGGAAGCAGTCAGGGTCACAGTGGTTTGGGTCCCTTTGATGACACCCCATGTTATAACCCGCTGCGCTATAGTTACGGATAATGTCAGCCACGTTGACGTGGTTGAGTTGTGCAGGTGGATTGCTGGGGCTGTACGCTGTGAGCCAGGCAGTCAGCCCCAGGGGTGTTGAGGCCTGATTGGAGGGTTGCCTTTTCACGATACAATATGAGGTGCAAAACAAAGGACAATATACAGGCCCATAGTGCAGCGCAGTAGAACGAGGTCCGACTGTGCAACTGGATACTCGATTAGTGTTAGCAACTGCTGCATCACAGCAAGAGTCAGAAAGCTGGGAGTTGAAGCACTTTGTTGAAGGCTGGTGCCCTCTGCACATCCTGCTTCAGTCCCACATCCGGAGCTTCCGCCTTCGCCCCTAATATGATGAATAAATACTTGCTCATTCGCTGTGTTGTGGCCATTGCAAATGTTAAGCATCACTTAAGGTCTTGAATCTAACAGTCAACCACCATCTAAACAGCAGCTTCTCAGGCAGCAGAGTCACGTCAAGCTGTGTGGCCACGTGAATGAACTACAATCTCCAATAAGATCTAACCTGTTGCTCTGATCCCACGTGGGTCAGGATAATGCTGGCACACACCACACACACACACCCTGTAGCCTGGGCGAAGCAGCAACAGTACAGCAGGTATGAGGACATGTTGATCTGCATTGATTAGACCACAAAACACTGCTTTTCAAGGCTATAAGATTTCCCAACTTGTTGAGGAAGTTAAATGTGTGAAAATTACAATTCTTTTAACCTGAGCCTGTACTGATAGACAGGAGCCTGGGAGGAGGGACACTGATACTGATGTGCCAAGACCCTGTGTCCAGTGCAGATGGAGACAGTGAGTTTACACTTGGGGTAAAACAGCCATGAGAGGCAGAGGCAGCCACACTGACAGTCCTCGCCCAGCCTGACGTTTGTGTTACATTGTAGAAAACTCAATCTGAAAGCCCATTGTTTTTAGGAACTGGGCTTTCAAATTAGGACTGCGTTTGGGAATTTTCCACATTACTGCACAATATTCAATTGATGACAAAATGGTGTAATGGGCTCAGACCAGGTGGAATTTCAGGTCTTAAATCCTGTCCTTTGTTTTGCACCTCAAGTTGTATCATGAAAAGGCAACCCTCCACTCAGGCCTCAATACCTTACAGTTTAGTGAGGATCATCTTGCTGGTGTGATCAGGACTCAATGAACTGTTTCACACAATCACCCCATCATGTACATCAGTGTTCCGCTGGCTCGGCGTAATCTTCTGTCTTCATGTCATTCAGTCCCAGATCATCGTTCTGTTCAAAGCTGCGCTCGTATTTCTCAATCTTCAGCTCGGGGTCGGGGTCTGGGGCGTACAGATTCTACAGAGAGGGAAACAGCCAGAGGCAGTTAGCTTGTATCAAAAGGCAATCACTCAGCTGCGTCTTTTTATTAATCGTCTGATAGGCCTATAATAATCCTTACATTTGATATAGCGCCTAATCACGCCTTTAAGATGCCTCAAAGCGCTTCACAGAATAAACTGTAAAGTAAAATGACTTTATATTTTGTGGGCGAACCGCGGCAGCCAATGGCGGAGCAGCGTCCCACAAACAGTCGTGAATTGAGTGAGCAAATTATTATTTTTTTTTGAAGAGATTATTATCTCACGAAAAGCAATCCGCCTACATACCAGGTTCCTACTTACTGCTGGTAAACAGAGGTGAGTGGAGTAAGGGAACTTGCCCATTGTTTTGCCCTGCCAGGAACTGAACCCAGGTCTTAACTGGCTGTGGGACTTGCTGTTGTGAAACAGTAGTCACTGCACTCCATGATAATTACTGTAAAGCTTTTTTGAGGGGATAACGTGAAAAGGTGCTATAAAAACGCAAGTTCTTTCCATCTTTCCTTTCCTCACTGAGATTCAAGTCCACACCGGTGGGTTTGTAAATGGACAACTTGCATTTACACATAATAATAATAATAATAATAATCCTTGCATTTGATATAGCGCTTTCCACGTTGGGAGGACGTCCCAAAGCTCTTCACAGAACACACTGTAAAGTGAATTGACTGTATATTTGTGGGTGAACGTGGCAGCCAATTGCGCACAGCAATGTCCCACAAACAGTCGTAGACTGAAAATGACCAATTTATTATTGTTTTGTTTTGGAGGGATTATTATTAGGCTCTGTGTGGAGTAAGGAAACTTGCCCAAGGTTTCGCCCTCTGCCTGGAATTGAACTCAGGTCTCTCACTTGCAAAGCGAGTGCTCCAACTGAGCTACAGGACTCCACAATGAGAGCGAGTGGTAGCGAGACAGAGCACTTGACAGTGGCGGAGCACGACCCCCGAGCCAGGGAGAGGGGGAGGTAACCATAGGCACGGTCGAAAAGGGACGACGTGAAGATGAGGAAGGAGGGGGCAAGGCGGAGGGAGAGAGGGAGAGTGTCCCAGAGTGTCGGGGCATAATGGCTGAAAGTGCGTTAGAAGGCAAATGTGTGTGTTCAAGTTTCCCCGCTGGCAGCAAGTCAAATGTTCTGCTCACGCAGAGCAGCTGTGCGTCCTGACACCATGCAGGGTCCTCTCCTTGTCTCGTTAAGATGCTCTGAAGCGACCTGCAGACAACCTGCGTATATCAGCACTGACCTGAAGGTAGCTGTTCCCCGCTGGGTCATCCAGGACCACGTGAGCTTCTCTTTTAGCTGAAATGATCTGTTTCAGGAAAAGGAACAAAAATTTAAAATGTTATCCTCCTCCTCCAAAAATAAACACGTGAAAAGTGGTGACTTTACAAAGTGAAAAGTTTCCCTCAAAAAGCTCCTCAGAGGGAGAGTCAGTGGTTAGTGTAGTCCTGTAACTCAGTGATTAAAGCACTTGCCTCGCAAGCAAGAAACCCGTGTTTGATTCCCAGTAGGGCGAAACTTTGGGCAGTTTCCTTACTCCACACCTCTGTTTACCAGCAGCAAGTAGGAGTCCGATCATTAGTCGATTGGAGGATCGTTTTTCCGGGTATAGTAATCCCTCCAAAAAAAATTGGTTTGTGGGACTCTGCTGTGGGCTGCCGGTAAAAGTGACAGAATCGCTGCCGCATTTCGCCCACAAAATGTACTTTATAAATCACTTTAGAGTATACAACGTGAAAAGGCACTCTATCAAATGAAAGATTGTTATTATTATTAGTCTGCACAGATTGGGAATCAGTGGTTGATGCTACACGTGGGTTTGTCTGACCCGTGTTCAGGACATCACTGATTATCAGTCACAGGCTGGAGTTGGTCAGGAATCTGATATCAGTTTAATGTGAGAGTTGGGAATGTCGATCCTGTCACTTTTACCCGCAGCTCCTTACCTCGCTCAGCTTGTCCCCAAATTCCTGCAGCTTCTCGGACCTATCGGAGGTGATGCTGTCACCCACGATGAATGGATTCTTCTCCACGATCTGAGGACAACAAGGAGAGAACGGCATCAGTCTCTCACTCACTGCGATTGGCAGGAACCCACAGCCACACAGGGAACACAGGGCAGCCGAGTGCTGCTCCCTCAAAATGGGCAACAGCTCATCATACAACCGCCTGTCGCGGGTACAGGCCGGCGCCGCGGGTACAGGCCGGCGCCGCGGGTACAGGCCGGCGCCGCGGGTACAGGCCGGCGCCGCGAGTACAGGCCGGCGCCGCGGGTACAGGCCGGCGCCGCGGGTACAGGCCGGCGCCGCGGGTACAGGCCGGCGCCACGAGTACAGGCTGGCGCCGCGGGTACAGGCCGGCGCCGCGGGTACAGGCTCGTTATAGAGACATGCAATCAGTGCAGTGTGTATGTCCACACAGACTGTGTGTGTTTTGGTCGGTGCGCGTGTGGTGGGAAATGATTTATGTATATATGTGAGCGAGCGAGTGTTAGTGTAAAGACAATCATGTGGTAAAACCATAGCAACAGAAGTGCCAGCTGCACACTCAAGAGTCACTAACGAACACTAGGGAAGGACACAGGTTGACAGGGGACAGGGTTCACTCCACTAATTTGGGGGGTGGGGGGGAGAGAGATAGGAAAGCACCCACTCCTGTCCCCTCCCTCGCCAGCAGCTTGAGCCCTGCCCCTGGAGAAGTCTCACCAGCTCTTTTATGTCCTGCAGCAGCCCTTCCAGAGTGGTGAACTTGCCTCCGAGGAGTGCTTGGCCCAACTCAAACTCCAGCTCAGGAATCGCAATGGAGCAGGTTTCAGACTAGGACAGAGAGAAAGACAGAGAGAGATTTCAGACAAGGAGACACAGAGTGGGGTCAGTGGGGCCCGAGCCTGGGCTGGCCCGAGTCAGGCCTACCTTCAGCAGGTCCCTGGTCATGTCGCTGGGGTCGGTGATGCGGAGGGTGATTCTGGTTCCCAGAGGCTCAGTGCCTCCTCCCGACTTCACCTGAAACATCAAACTGTGGTGAGAGAGGGGCTCCGGCTCCACACACACCCACATACACAGAACCACCCCCACCCCATACACAGCCCCCCCCCCCCCACCCGCCGACACAGCCCTCCCACCCCATACACAGCACTCCCCCACACACACAAACACCCACACGCAGGCCCACCCACCCACACGCGCAGCCCCACCCACCCACACGCGCAGCCCCACCCACCCACACGCGCAGCCCCACCCACCCACACGCGCAGCCCCACCCACCCACACGCGCAGCCCCACCCACCACACGCGCAGCCCACCCACCCACACGCGCAGCCCCACCCACCCACACGCGCAGCCCCACCCACCCACACGCGCAGCCCACCCACCCACACGCGCAGCCCCACCCACCCACACGCGCAGCCCCACCCACCCACACGCGCAGCCCCACCCACCACACGCGCAGCCCCACCCACCCACACGCGCAGCCCCACCCACCCACACGCGCAGCCCCACCCACCCACACGCCCAGCCCACCACCCACACGCCCAGCCCCACCCACCCACACGCCCAGCCCCACCCACGCCCAGCCCCACCCACGCGCAGCCCCACCCACACACACGCGCAGCCCCACCCACACACACGCGCAGCCCCACCCACACACACGCGCAGCCCCACCCACCCACACGCGCAGCCCCACCCACCCACACGCGCAGCCCCACCCACCCACACGCGCAGCCCCACCCACCCACACGCGCAGCCCCACCCACCCACACGCGCAGCCCCACCCACACGCGCAGCCCCACCCACCCACACGCGCAGCCCCACCACCCACACGCGCAGCCCACCCACCCACACACGCGCAGCCCCACCCACCCACACACACGCAGCCCCACCCACCCACACACACGCAGCCCGACCCACTCACACACGCAGCCCGACCCACTCACACACGCAGCCCGACCCACTCACACACGCAGCCCCACCCACACGCAGCCCCACCCACACGCAGCCCCACCCACACGCAGCCCCACCCACACGCAGCCCCACCCACACCCAGTGCCCCTCCACACAAAGCTGTTACCTCATTAGTGCGGTGCCCGCAGGTCTCACAGACAGTAGCCATGATAATGACCTCCCTGAAGTGTGGAATTTCTGGATAACATCAGTCAAAGAAAACAAGAAAAACACAGCAGGAACCGTGGGGCTGAGGGTGACAGCGGGGCTGGGGGTGACAGCGGGGCTGGGGGTGACAGCGGGGCTGGGGGTGACAGCGGGGCTGGGGGTGACAGCGGGGCTGGGGGTGACAGCGGGGCTGGGGGTGACAGAGGGGGTGGGGGTGACAGAGGGGGTGGGGTGACAGAGGGGGTGGGGGTGACAGAGGGGTGGGGCTGGGGGTGGCAGAGGGGGTGGGGCTGGGGGTGGCAGAGGGGGTGGGGCTGGGGGTGGCAGAGGGGCTGGGGGTGGCAGAGGGGTGGGAGTGGCAGAGGGGTGGGGCTGGGGGTGGCAGAGGGGGTGGGGCTGGGGGTGGCAGAGGGGTGGGGCTGGGGGTGGCAGAGGGGGTGGGAGTGGCAGAGGGGTGGGGCTGGGGGTGGGGCTGGCAGAGGGGGTGGGGCTGGGGGTGGGGCTGGGGGTGGCAGAGGGGGTGGGGCTGGGGGTGGCAGAGGGGGTGGGGGTGGCAGAGGGGGTGGGGCTGGGGGTGGCAGAGGGGGTGGGGCTGGGGGTGGCAGAGGGGGTGGGGCTGGGGGTGGCAGAGGGGGTGGGGCTGGGGGTGGCAGAGGGGGTGGGGCTGGGAGTGGCAGAGGGGGTGGGGCTGGGGGTGGCAGAGGCAGGAATCGGGCACAAGGCAAGAGGAGAAGCCGGGGAGCGACAGTAACCGATCAGGTCTGGGCCGAGGGTTCCCAGCAGTGACAGCGCCCACACGTGTGCCACCCGTGTCCTGGTCTCCCTCGTCGTTTCCACAGTAATCTCAAACATTTCCTGCCATCAAAAGGATACTCAGCAACTTCATGTTGGTCTCAGCGGGAGCGTTACACTCCGGGCAGTTAGTAGCGAACTGCAGCACCTGAGAGAGGGAAGGAGAGAGGGAGAGGAGGGAGGGGGAGAGACAGGGCGGGAGGGAGGGGGAGGGTGTGTGTGAGGGAGGGTGTGAGAGGGAGAGAAACAGGGAGGGAGGGAAGGGAGGGGGAGAGAGAGGATGTGAAAGGGAAGGTGTGAGAGAGTGAGGGGGGGGTGGGAGGAAGGGCGTGAAGGAGAGAGAAGGTTGGTGTGGGAGGGAAAGAGGGGGGAGACAGAGAGGGAGGGGGGGGAGAGACAGAGAGGGAAGAAGGGAGGGGGGAGACAGAAGGAGGGGACAGAGAGAGAGGAAAGGAGTGAGGGGGGGCCAGAGGGGGAGGGAGGGGAGGGAGGGAGAGCGAGAGAGGGGGGGGGGAAACAGAGAGGGAGTGAGCACGGAGAGAGGGAGGGAGGGAGTGGGGGGGGGCAGAGGGGGAGGGAGGGAGAGAGAGAGGGAGGAAGAGATTGAAGGGGGAGGGGGGACAGAGAGGGAGGGAGGGAGTGTGGGGACAGAGAGAGAGGGAGGGGGGAGAGAGGGAGGGGGGGGAAGAGAGGGAGGGAGGGGCGGAAGAGAGGGGGGCAAAGAGGAGAGGGGGCGGGGACAGAGAGAGAGGCAGGGAGGGGGCAGGGGGGTGGGAGAGAGAGTGAGTGAGGGGAGAGAGAGTGCGAGTGAGGGAGTGTGGGGGGAGGGAGTGGGGAGAGAGGGAGGGAGAGAGAGTGGGTGAGAGGGAGGGAGATCTCAGAGAGACATCCCGTACTCAGTTCATTAAACGCGAGCGAATAAAATGCCCCCCATGGCTCCGTCTTACTGTACCCCCCATAAGAGATGAGAATGCCATCAGTAATCAGGCTGAGTGTTACTGTCAGGCCCTTACAGTCAGTGATGGATGGCCAGACAGACACTTACCTCTTTCCTCATTTCCTCCAGAGTGTTTCCTGGCTTCTCCTCTTCCTCTTCCTCCGCCTGCGAACACACAACAAATATCAGTGTTTGCACCTCCTCGCACACAGGGTCTGTCTCCTGTAAACAGCTGTGTGTGTGTATTCTGCCCTTTCCTCTGGGTTCCGGCCTCGCCTGGGAGTCCTGCAGCTCAGTGGTAAGAGCACTTGCCTCGCAAGCGAGAGGACCTGCGTTTGATTCCCAGGCAGGGCAAAACCTTAGGTAAGTTTCTCTACTCCGCACACCTCTGTTTGCCTAGCAGTAAGTAGGAACCTGCTTGTTAGTCAATTGGTGGATCGCTTTCCGGGGTAATAATCCCTTAAAAGTAATAACAATTTGCATTTATATTGCGCCATTCACACTGGACGGCATCCCAGAGCGCTTGATAATAATTTGGTCACTCAATCCATGATCCACAACTGTTTGTGGGACACTGACTGATGCATTTTGTCAACAAAATATACAGTCAATTCACTTTACAGTATATTCTGTGAAGCGCTTTGAGACGTCTCAAACTCATGATAAGGCGCTGTACCAAATGATTATGATGATTATCGCTGCCCACCTTCAGGCCCAACGCGCTGTCCTGCTGGGCGTCCCGTCTGTACTGAGTCACAGTCAGCGCCTCATCCTTCTGTGGAGCGTTGGGATTCTCCACAAAGCTGTTCCCTGAGGGATCATCAATGATCTGTGCTGTGACAGAGAGGCTGCATTACCCACAGTAAACACAAACAACAACAACTTGCATTTACACAGCCCCACCCTCACGCAAGGTAAGGTCCCGGAGTGCTTAACGGTGGCAGAGCATGACACTGAGCCGGGGGGAAGGGGGAGTTGACCATAAACACAATCAAAAATGTCTTTAGGAGGGATTTGAAAGTGAGGAGGGATGGGGCAAAGCAGAGGGATTGAGGGAGAGTTTGAGTTTCGGCGTAGTGGCTGAAGGCACGGAGCAGGGGACAAACAGGAGGTTGGAGCCAGTCAATCAGAGACGGGCATAGTGGGTTGAGGAGCAAGAAGGTGGAAGAGCTAGCGAGGTTCCAGGGTGTGAAGGGATTTGAAGAGGATCTTGAAATAGGCAAGAAACACTTTGAAGCAGGTCTGTGAGTGGCTGGCCTAAGATGGGGAGGGGGGGAATGGGGGGGCTGGTTCAGGACTGAAGCGAGGCACAACCTCACTGAGGCGGTGAGGGGGGTGGGGGGCAGGCACCCACCAATGTGAATGGCGTCTCCACATCCTTCAGCTTCTTCATTTTCTCAATGAATTCATCGATTTTGGCTGCTAACGTCGGGTCGGTTGCCTGGGTGGAGGGGACGACAAAGAGGAATAAAAAAATCCTTCATTAGAGGCTCAACGCACCCCCCCACACTGCCCCCACCACCAACAACATACCAGAACTACGATTTTTGAGATGTTCATCTAGGGGAAACATTGTTGTGGCTGAGTGTTTGACGCAGAGATTCATCCAGTGTCAGCACTCACAGCTTTGGCTGTGAGTAACAGCCCGTGTTCAGCCTTCAGCAGCTGCAGTTTATTAGTGTCTGATCCACAAGCTGTTACACACAAACTCCAGACACGAATGTTAACACGCCAACGTCATGGATAGGCAGGGCTCTATGCCCAGCCCAGCACAGTGCCTGAGCCTGGGGTGCGTGGGGGGGGATAGAGGGCACCGAGTACTGGTAACAGCCCGTGCTCACCATGACGTCTCTAACACAGACCCCTACCTTGCGTACGGGCTGCTCCTGCTCCAAACCAGTGATCGTTCGGTCAATCAGACCCTCCAGCGTGGAGAGAGCTGCAGGGAGAGGGACAGGTCAGGGTGGAGATTCAGTCCATAGTATACAGCCCTCAGCCCCCAGCAGCCTCAGTAGACACGCCCTGAAACTATAGAACACTTTCCTTCTATCACTCCGCCTTGCCCCTTCTTTCCCCATCTTCAGGTCCGCCGGAAGACACTTTTAAGCGCTTTGAGACGTCTCGAAGATGTGATAAGGTGCCATATCAAATGCAAAGATTATTATTATCACATCTTCTTCGACCATGCCTACGGTCACCTCCTCCCTCCCCCGGCTTGGAGTTGTGCTCCGCCACTGTCAAGCTCTCTGGGACAATGCCCTGCGTGAGCGGTGCTGGGAAATGCAAGTTGTTGATGCGCTGCAGCCCCCGGGTTCACTGTATAAAAGCTGCTGTTATTCTGCGACACTCACCCCCTTTCTGTGTGAAAGCCGGAATCTCAAAGTCCAGCTCCGGGATTCGGGTTGTTGCCGAGTCGGCTTTCACCACCTCGCGGTTCATATCCTGTAAACACACACATGGTCCCATTCACAAACACGGACACACAGACCCAGGCAGTTCACACTGGTACACACAAAGCTGGGAGGATCCCTGATACAGCCATTCAACAAACATTTAACCACCTCAGTCTTGAAAATGTGAATGGATCCAGCCATAATCCACAGCCTTTTGGGGATGAGAGTTCCAGATTTCCACTCCACTTTGTGAAAAACTGCCCCTGATTTCACTCGTAAATGGCCTGGCTCTAATTTTAAGACAATGCCCCTTGTTCTGGATTCACCCATCCACCAAAGGACATGGTTTCTCTGTGTCTACCCTATCAAATCCTTTTATTATTTTAAACAGGTCAAACAGATCAGCCTCGACCTTCTAAACACAAGAGAATATGAGTCAGGAGTGCGGCCCAGAGCGCAGAGACTTACCTGCATGGAGGAGACGCGGAGTGTGTATCTCACTCCCTGCTCCTGGATCCTCCCAGCTGACTGGACCTCACTGTTACTCCAGCCGCAGTGATCACACATGAAGGAGCTCACGATAATCTCTTTGAAGAACGGGATCTTGGTCAGCAGTAATCGCGTCACCCCCTGAGGCAAACGGGACCCACCGGGGAGAGGGTTAGAGCAGAGTGTCAGCCCCCCACCCCCACACAGAGAGCACAGACACACCCGTTGATACAGGGACAGACCACCCCTCCACAAACACACACAGACACAGCACCCGCACCACACACCCCACCGCACGTTCGCCCCGACACTCGCTCCCCAGCACATTCCACTCCACACCCTCGACCCGGCACATTCCCCCCCCAGCACGTGTCCGCCCACTCCCCCAGCACATGCTCCCCCACCCCTACATCCCCCCCCCCATCACATGCTCTCCCCCACTACATACCCCCCCATCACATGCTCCCCCACTCCTACATCCCCCCACCCCCCCATCACATGCTCCCCCCCACTACATACCCCCCATCACATGCTCCCCCCACTACATACCCCCCCCCCCCATCACATGCTCCCCCCCACTACATACCCCCATCACATGCTCCCCCCACTACATCCCCCCCCCATCACATGCTCTCCCCCACTACATACCCCCCAGCACATGCTCCCCCACCCCTACACCCCCCCCCATCACATGCTCCCCCCCCACTACATACCCCCCACCCCCCATCACATGCTCCCCCCCCACTACATACCCCCCATCACATGCCCCCCCCACTACATCCCCCCCAGCACATGCCCCCCGGGGCAGGCCCAGGCCCAGGCCCAGGCTCACATTGCTGTAGCAGTTCATACACAGACTCTCCAGCTCTGTGAGCTCCGGCGCCTCCTCCTCGGCGCTCAGCTCCGGGAACATCCGCGGCGCGGACTCCTGGATAGCGACGGCCATGGCGTCTCCCTGTCACAGCCCCGGCTCAGGCCCGTCACCGCACCGCCACCGCCACCGCCCGCTCCCGGCGCCGCACTCTGCTGCCCCCTCCGGCCTGGAGGACCCGCCGGGAGGACTGGGGTTGGCACGTGGGGCAGTGGCCACGTGACAGCCCCAACACACGGCAATAGCAATAATAATAACCTTTGTAACAAAAGGCAAAATACTGCAGATACCGGAAATCTGCTGCAAACACATAGCAGCTCAGAGGCGGCGCCGGGGAGAGGGCAGTGAGTTACCGCTTCAGGTCAATGACCCGACGAAAGGTCAATGACCTGAAATGTTAACTGATTTTCCTCTCTCCATGGATGCTGCCTGATCTCCTACAATAAATCCTTGTATTTGATACAGCGCCTTATCATATCTTCCAGGCGTCTCAAAGCACTTTACAGAATATACTGTAAAGTGTAGTGACTGTATATTTTGTGGGCGAAACGTGGCAGCCAATTGCGCTCAGCAGTGTCCTACAAACAGTTTTGGATCCATTTTTTCTCAAGGGATTATTATCCCTGGAAAACAATCCATCAATCGACTAACAAGCGTCTTCCTACTTACTGTAAGGTAAACAGCGGAGTGTGGAGTAAGGAAACTTGCCCAACATTTCGTCCTTCCTGGGAATCAAACCCAGGTCATCTTGCTTGAGAGGTAGTTGCTCTAACCACTGAGTTACAGGACTCCACACGGCACCACATGTCCTGCCACAGCCTTTTGGGGGAACTCTCTTCCCCAAAAGGCTGTGGATTATGGCTCAATCCATTCACATTGTCCAGACTGAGGTGAATCGACGTTTGTTAGGTCAGGGGATCAAGGGATGTGGGGCAAAGATGGGTAATTGGAGTTGAGTTATAGATCAACCATGATCTTACAGAATAGAGGAACAGGCTTAAGGGGCTAAATAGCCTACTCCTATTTTACACCGACACCCCACCCCCCACCACCTGGCCTGCCACTGCCAGCCTCACCTGGAACAGGTTACCAGGAGGTCAGGACAACAGACTCATAATATTCCTTATTCCCTAATCTAATAAAGCACATCAGGAGGGCGCTTCACAGGATTCACCGTGAAGTGCAGTGACTGTGTTTTGGGAGACAATCGGCACTGAAGGAAGAAGGTGCTGCTGCAATGGGAGGACAATGGGGTCACTATTCTGGCAGAATGAGGTCAAATAGGACACCTTGACACTTCCTGATAGGAAAAGTTTACAGCCATAAACATTTACAGCGCAGAAAGAGGCCGCTTTGCCTGTCAGTGCTGGCTGTTTTACAGTTCAAGCCTTTTAGGCCCTTTCCCCTCCCACCCCCATAACCTTATCATTCGCCAGCGATATTATTGTGCCCCTCAAGCAAAACACTTCGCTTATCAAGTAAGATAGTCACGGACAAAGCCACGGGAGATGGCCGCCTTTTCACCCACCGGAGACTTTGAGGTGGAATAGGGGTGAAAATTGGGAGGAAGTGAAGAACCCGAGACAGTTTAAAATCAACAAATAAACAAACAAACAAACAAACAAATAGCCCTAAAAAAATTCGATCCACGATTCTTTATGGGACGCTGCTGTGTGCAATTGGCTGCTGCGTTTGCCCACAAAATATACAGTTTATACGGTGAAGACCTTGGAGACGTCTCAAAGACGTAATAAGGCGCTGTATCAAATACAAGGATTATTGCTATTATTATTTATTATAAATCACAGATTATAAACAGTGACAACAATCCAATTAGATGCTGTTATTTATTGAGTGGGGCTAAATTACAGTGATGTTTAGCTGATGGTTTACATTTGATTTCTGTTGCTTTACTTCTGGAGTTTCTGACGGAAGGTTTCCCACAGGGCGGTGAGGTGGGCTCTCAGCTGCATCTCCACGGGTGTCAGTGTCTGACGGACCTTGTCTGTGTGTGGCTGGAGGCTCTCTCTCATCTTCTGGATGTTCTGGCTGATCATGGTGTCCAGCTGCTCAGTGTAGGGAGCCATGTTCTGACGGAACTCCTCGATCCTCTGGTTGACCTGGTTGTTCAGTGCTTCGGCCCTGGGCACCAGGTCCTCGAAGTTCTCATTGAGTTTAGCCTTGAGCTCGGCGGCGAAGGGGGCCAGCTGTGCCTTCAGCTGCTCAGCATTGGCATTGAGCTGCTCCTGGAGCTGCTGTGTGAACGGGACAATCTTCTGGCTCAACTCCTCAATCTGCTGGTTCATCCTGTCCTGGACCTCTTGGGTGTAAGGAGCCAGGCTTGTGCGCAGCTCTTGGACATTCTCAGTAAACTTGGCCAAGTACTCGTCAGTAAGAGGAGTCAACTTCTGTCTCACCTCATCCACGTTCTCGTTAATCTTCTGCTGGAGGTCTTGGGCGAAGGGGACCAGAGCTTGCTGGAGGCTGTCTGCGTTCTGCTGGAGTGTTCTCTGAAGGTCCTCAGTGTAGGGAGTCAGCCTCTGGCGCAGTTGCTCAGTCTTCTCGCTCACCTGGGCACTCAGCTCCTCAGTGTAGGGAGTCAGCCTCAGCTTGAGCACCTCAATCTTCTGGCTGATCTGTTGTTGGACCTCCTCAGAAATGGGAGACACTTGTGCGCTCAGTTGCTCCACCTGCTGCCTGATCTGCTCCTGCAACCTCTCGCCATCCTCCGTCACTTTGGTACGGAACTGCTGCGCTAGAGGGGTCATCTTCTCTCGCAGATCGTCAGCGTAGACAGTGATCTGCCCAAGGTTTTCCTTAATCAGCTCACTGCAAAGCACACCAGAAAGCACACCAACTCTTACATCATTTCCCACATTCTTTTCAAAGCAAATTATAATAATCCTTGCATTTGATACATCGCCTTATCACATCGCTGAGATGTCTCAAAGCTCTTTACAGAATACACTGTAAAGTGCAGTGACTGTGTATTTTGTTGGCGGAACACAGCAGCCAATTGCGCACAGCAGTGTCCTACAGTCATGGATTGTGTGACCAATTTATTTTGTTATGGAGGGTTTATTACCTCCCGAAAGCGATCCGTCAATTGACTAACAACCGGTTTCCTACTTACTACTCGATAAACAGGTGTGTGGAGCAATGAAACTTCCCTCGGGTTTCACCCTTAATCTAATGGAATTAGACCAATAATGAGAAAGTCACTGCACTTCACAGTGAATCCTGTGAAGCACTTTGGGACAGGAAAGGCTCTAATTAAATGGAAGGATTATTATGAGTGATTCTTTCAACCGGGTAACAACATGTGGTGATAACCTCAGTGCTAAACAATGGACACAGGCTGCAGTTTTCATGCTATTGGTGGAGTTCTGTAACTCAATGGTTAGACCACTCGCCTCACAAGTGAGAGACCTGGGTTTGATTCCCGGCAGAGGGCGAAACCTCAGCCAAGTTTCCTTACTCCACACAACAAGGCATCAACAAACAGTGATATACTCAACGCTAAGCGATGGGAACAGGCTGCAGGTTTAACTCTATTCTGTGACGAAGGCAAAGTGAGGAGACTCCTCAGCTCAGGAAACCAATGTCCCTGACGTTAAACCGTGTTCAGGTTCAAGATGATCTTATTTTATGCGCACACACACGCACATGCACACTTACGCACACAAACACACACACACACACCTATGCACACACCACACACACACGCACACAAACACACACACCAACACACGCGACACAAACACACGGCACAACACACGACAACACACACGCACGCTCGAACGGGAACAATAGAGACCAAAGGTGACCCTTCACTGGGCTCCTGTACTTACTCGAGATGTTTGCCAACCTCAGAGCTCTGGATCTTCCCCCACGTTCTCCCTGGCGGTTTCGCTCAGTTGGCTAACGTACTCCCAGAAGGCATCCTGCACCTGGTCATGGCTGACGTCAGCACGAGAGCCTACAGCGAGGACAGGACAGGACAGGACAGGTCAGGTCAGCGTGGGGGCGAGAGTCAGAGCCGGACACACATCAGCACTGAACCTTCAAGCACAGAATGAGGCCATCGAGCCTGTGCCTGCTCTTACCCCAACTAGCCCCCACTCCCCCTCCGCTCTTACCCCAATTATCCCCCACTCCCCCCGCTCTTACCCCAACTAGCCCCCACTCCCCCGCTCTTACCCCAACTAGCCCCCACTCCCCCCGCTCTTACCCCAACTAGCCCCCACTCCCCCCGCTCTTACCCCAACTAGCCCCCACTCCCCCCGCTCTTACCCCAACTAGCCCCCACTCCCCCCGCTCTTACCCCAACTAGCCCCCACTCCCCCGCTCTTACCCAACTAGCCCCCGCTCACCCGCTCTTACCCCAACTCAGCCCCACTCCCCCCGCTCTTACCCCAACTGGCCCCCACTCCCCGCTCTTACCCCAACTAGCCCCCACTCCCCCGCTCTTACCCCAACTAGCCCCCCCCCCCCCGCTCTTACCCAACTAGCCCCCACTCCCCCCCTTTACCCAACTAGCCCCCATTCCCCCAGTCTTACCCCAACAAGACCCCACTCTCCCACTCTTACCCCAACTAGCCCCTACTCTCCCTCGCTCTTACCTCAACGAGCCCCCACTCCCCCGCTCTTACCCCAACTAGCCCCCACTCCCCCGCTCTTACCCCAACTAGCCCCCACTCCGCCACGCTTACCCCAACTAGCCCCACTCCGCCACGCTTACCTCAACTAGTCCCCACTCTTACCCCAACTAGCCCCACTCTTATCCCAAATAGCCCCCACTCCCCCACTCTTACCCCAACTAGCCCCACACCCCCTGCTCTTACCCCATCTAGCTCCCACTCCCCCGCTCTTACCCCATCTAGTCCCACTACCCCCGGTTTTACCCCATCTAGTCCCACTCCCCCACTCGTACCCTAACTAGTTCCACTCCCCCGCTCTTACCCCAATTAGCCCCACTCCCCCTGCTCTTACCCCAACTAGTCCTACCACTACTCGCTCTTACCCCAGCTAGCCGCACTCTCCCGCTCTTACCCCAACTAGCTCCATTCCCCTGCTCTTACCCCAACTAGTCACACTCCCCACTCTTACACCAATTAGCTGCACTCCCCCGCTCTTACCCCAAATAGCCCCACTGACCCACTCCTACCCCATAGCCCTGCAATTTCTTCCTTTTTAAGCCCATATCCAATTCCCTTCTGAAAGCTATTATGGAATCTGTTCCCTTTCAGGCAGCGCAGTCCAGATCGTAACAACTCTCTGGGCAACACTCAACACACATTTCCCATCTCACAGGACAGTGAGCTGAGGTTAGTGTTGGGGAGCTCCTCACACTGACTGCAGCACTCTGCTGACTGATCGACATGACTTCAGAACATACTCTGAAACCCCCTCTACCCACCTCCGCCAAAGGTCATGACCATTGACCAGTTAGATCTCAGTGGAATGAGCCTAAACTCTGCTGTGAACTGGGTTCCAGACTGGCAGGACCTGGGACTCAGGGACACAGACAGTCTCGAGTCCACCACACAAGAGCTGACAACACAGCACAGCTTTACGCACAGTCAATACATGGCGTCGTAGTAATCTGATCTCTACAAACCTGAGAGGACGACGGCTAAGGCCACGAGGATAGTCCTGAGATACATGATGGTTCTTTCTCACTTCCTTCAACCTGGAAGAAAAACCCAAACCAAGTGTTAGATCCACAGCGTTGATCTAAGAGTTTTAGGCTCAACTGACACCTCACCTGTCCCCCTCCTGGGACACTGTGGAGAGATCTCAATCACTGTATTTTACTTTCCAGAGAGGATCAGCTCTTGCGCTCAGTGACTGCAGTGTGTCTCTTACCTGCAGGTGCTGCCTGTGACTCTGTGCCTCCTGCCTCGCTCCATATAAAGGGATCTTATCGGGGAGGTGATAAGGAGTTGCCACGCTGGGCTCAGCCTGTGGACTTTCATTGATGAAAAAGAAGGAAAACGTGGAAGTTCCAACAAAGCTCCAGGTGCAATCCTGATGTCACCGGCCACATGTTACCGAACAGGCAAACTCCAGCCCAGAGGCTGCTCTTGTTAACCCTTCACACATCTACTCTGTGACTGGCATTCTCACTTCTGAGTCAGAATGTTTGTTTATTTCCCCATATCAGGCCTTTGAGCTCACAGTCCAGGCTGACACCGGTGCAGTGCTGGAGGACTGCTGGATTATCAGAGATGTGGAGTTCTGTAGTTCAGTGGTTAGAGCTTTTGCCTCACAAGCGAGAGGACCTGGTCACTCTCCTCCATAACGCCCTCTCCACCACTCTCGATACCCTTGCTCAATTCACTTCCCACCGTCTCCTACTCACAAAAGTCAGACCGCTCTCCCCTCTGCTAACTCGTGGTTCTACTCCAAGACAATCTTGGAGGCCAAGAACAACCCTAGGCTCCTCTTCTGCATCACCAACCGACTCCTCCACCCACCCTCTCATGCCTCGTCTATCCCCTCCTCCAACGCCAACTGCGAGGCAATGCTGGACTTTCTCGAAACCAAAGTCAAGAGGATCCGCTCAGTTGCCTCTGCGCTTCCGTCTACGACACCCTACCCATCTGCCCCTCACACCCCGGCCCCTACTCATCTCTTCCACACCTTTGACCTCTCTCCTCCTCCCCTCTCACCACCAGTACAACCCACCTGCTCCCTCGACCCCATCCCTACCCCTCTCCTTACCTTCCAGCTCCACCTCCTTGCCCCTCTACTCACAGACATCATCAAACTCTCCCTGTCCACAAGCACCATTCTTTAAAAACAGCCGTCATCACTTCTATCCCTCCCTGGACCCATTCCTGCTCTCAAACTACTCCACATCTCCAGCCTCCCTTTCCTTTCCAAGGTCCAGGAATGAGTTGTTGCTTCTCAGCTTTGCTCCTTCCTCTCCCGCCAATCCCTTCTCAAAACCCTTCAATCGGGTTTCTGTTCCGCCCACAGCACAGGAACAGCCCTGGTCAGTGACAAGTGATTTTCTGTCCATCTGCAACCAGGGCTCCCTCTGCCTCCATGTCCTCCTTGACCTCTCTGCTATCTTCGATACCATTGACCACACTATCCTGACAACCAATTCCATCTCTCTGCCTCCACTCTTGACTTCATGACAACTGTTGTCATAACAGAATATCTGTCAGACATCAAGTCAACAACAACAACAACAACAAGATTCCATTTATAAAGCGCCTTTCACGTCAGGAGGACGTCCCAAGGCGCTGCACAGTTGGGTCTTGACCCGAGCAGGGGGAAATGGTCAGGGTGAGGGGAGGGAAGGGAGGGAGCGAGGAGGGGGAAATGGTCAGGGTGAGGGGAGGGAAGGGAGGGAGCGAGGAGGGGGAAATGGTCAGGGTGAGGGGAGGGAAGGGAGGGAGCGAGGAGGGGGGAAATGGTCAGGGTGAGGGGAGGGAAGGGAGGGAGCGAGGAGGGGGAAGAGAGTCGAGAGGGGAGCTGAAGGCTCGGTCAAAGAGAGTCCTGCATGAGAGGTAACTTTCTTCAAATGAAAGTCAACAAGACCGAGGCTCTCCTGATTTTCGGACCTGAACCACAGCGTGTCCACACCTCAGACGCTGACAGCATCACCATCCATGGTTGCACACTTCATCTGATTAAGCCAGTCTGGAACCTTGGCGTCTTGTTTGACCCTCAACTATCCTTTCTACCCAACATCCGTGCCATGACCTGCTCTGCCTTCCCCACCTCCACAACGTATCAAGTGTCCGCCACTGTCTATCACTGCAGGCCGCCGAAACCCTCATACACGCATTCATTACATCCAGGCTTGACTACGCAAACTCACTGCTTGTCGGCCTCTCCAACTCTTCCCTCCACAGGCTGCAGATCATCTGGAACTCTGCAGCCCGTGTCGTCTCCCACACCAGGCTCCGTGACCCTATCACCCCAATCCACTTGCCCCGCCTTGCTCGCCCCACCATTGGGCGGGCCTTCACCCACTCTGCCCCACTCTCTGGAACTTCATCCCGCAGTCCCTCCACCTTGCCCCTTCCCTTGCCTCTTTCAAGACCCATCTGAAGACCCTCTTCTTTGACTGTGCCTTTGATCACCCTCCTTCTCCCCGCCCTCCACCCTCCTCGATCCCGACCCTCAGCTCAGGGCCGAAACAATGACTGTTCAGCACCTTGGGAAGTCCTTGGAGGATGTGAAAGGCGCTATAAAAATGTAATATTGTTGTGTTGAATTAACTGCCAGGGTTCATAATGTACTTGGAATGATTTTCATTTGGAAGGTGTATTAAGCACTTGAGAGGCTACTCTGCATAGAGGGCACTATATAGGTGCCAGTTGTTGTTGTAATTTTATATAAATCTTGGGTGTTGCTGATTAGAGTCAGATTACAAGGAACGAGGGGTGGGTGTGAAGAAAGAAAAAAATAATGTGCATTTTTATAGGTCTGTCATGTTTTACAGGTAAATACAGCAACAATTTGCGTTTATATAGTGCTTCTCACACAGGATAGCATCTCAGAGAGCTTGGGACACGACCCAAGGAAGCTTGCCCAATGTTTGGCCCTGTCTGGAAATCAAACCCAGGTCACCTCGCTCATGAGGCAAGTGCTCTAACCACTGAGCTACCCACCTAACCCACTCCCCGAGCAGCCCTCCCCACCCACTGATCTGCAGATATCCCTCCCGCAAACACAAGCGTCCCTCAATGGCAGATGATCAGAGGGACCCCACTGCACACTTTGATTGAAAGTTTTGGGGTCATTGACCATCCCCTTGATATAGGAACATAGTCGCTGTAGCTTAGTGGTTACCGCGCTCGCCTCGCAAGCGAGAGGACCTTGGTTCGATTCCTGGTCAGGGAGAAAGGTTGGGTATGTTTCCAGACTTCACATACGGAAGGAACACGATTGATAGTCGATTGGCGGATTGTATTTCTGGGGGTAATAATCCCTTCAAAACAAATAAAAATAATAATAATAATTTGTTCACTCAATCAACGACTGTTTGTGGGACACTACTGTTGGCTGCTACGTTTCATCCACAAAATAATTCACTTTACAGTATATTCTGTGAAGCGCTTTGAGACGTCTCAAAGACGTGATAAGGCGCTATATCAAATGCAAAGATTATTATTATTATTACTATAACATAGGAACAGGAGTGTACTAGCAATGAATATGTGACCAGTGACATCAGTTTTGTTGGAACTTTGGCTCATTTGGGACCATAACATCCACCTACTTACTGTCTTCCCAGGAGTGTCAAGTTGTTTCTTAAATTAATCTAACTAACTTTCCTGATAAGCCGCTCCAGGCCTTGATTTTACTTTGTGTAACAAGGTTGGAATCTGCCAGTCTCTCACAGTGCCTGACTTTGACCCTGCGTCAGCGTGCCTAACACGCTGGAATCCCAGAGCAGACTTTATGTTCCTTGATCAAAGTTCACCAAGAAGTGAGGTGGGTGTCAGCCTGGACTGTCAGTCAGTGGCATTCTCACCTCTGGGTCGGAAAGTTATGGGTTCAAACCCACAAGCCTCATTTTGGAGACTATGTGCTCACAGTCCAAACTGGAGCTTCAGCGCAGTGCTGGGGGTGGGGCGGGGGGAGCCCCACAATGTCAGAGGCCCCGTTCTTTTGATGACAAGTTAAACCAAGCTCCCGTCTGCCTATTCAGGTGGACATCAAAGACCCTGTGCCACTATTGGTGTGAGGGGCCCTACATAACAGTGGTGCTCCTCACACAGGGTAGTGTCCCAAGTTCTCTGGGACCTTATCCTGCGTACGGAGCGCTATATAAATGCAAGTTGTTGTTGTTGCATATTATCTGCAAAATATGACGTTCCCTGTAACCTGACTCTAATCAGCAACACGCAGTAAAATGAAAGTCGCTGCAAGAACATTACAAACCAGGGCCGATAACTTCCCAAACCTCACTTCAGAGGTCATTTAAATGTATTATTTGTAGGTGAATGATCGCAGCAGCCAATTTGCACACAGGCAATGGTGCACAAACAACCATCAAGTGAATGATTGTTTTATCTGGAGAATTGTGAGTCACCAGGAGAAATTAACTCCTTTCTCATCTCTAATAGCGAAATAAATAATGAGCATTTTTATAGGTCCGTCATGTTTTACAGGTAATTACAACAACAACTTGCAACAACAATATAGCGCTTCTCACGCAGGATAACATCCCAGAGCACGTGGGACACTACCCAAGGAAGCTTGCCCAACGTTTGGCCCTATCTGAGAATCAAACTCAATCATCTCGCTTGTGAGGCAAGTGCTCTAACCACTGAGCCACAGAACTCCACATGTGCTGCCACAACTCTTTCCCCAAAAGGCTGGGGATTATGGCTGGATCCAATCCACATTGTTCAGACTGAGGTGGATAGATGTTTCTTAGAGTCAGGGTATCAAGGGATATGGGGCAAGGGTGAGCAATCGTAGTTGATCAACCATAATCTTATAGAATGGCAGAACAGGCTGGAGGGGCTGAATAGCCTACTCCTGTTACTATGTTCTGAGACGGTTCAACACCCCTATATGTACACCCACGACATGGCTTGCTCTCCCTTGCAGAGTGCACTCTGTGGCCTCTGTGTTCAGTTGTCACTAATGAGTCAATTGGCTGCTGCGTTTCGCCCACAAATATACGGTCAATTCGCTTTACAGTATATTCTGTGAAGCGCTTTGAGACATCTGGAAGACGTGAAAAGCGCTATATCAAATGCAAGGATTATTATTACAACAACAAGATTACATTTGTATAGCGCCTTTCACGTCGGGAGGATGTCCCAAGGCGCTGGACAGTGTACAGCATTTCAGATAGACAACAGAAACTCACGTCAGCCAGAGCAGGTTTATAATCTGTGTCCAATTCTGTTCTGCACCACCACTTAAACAAGCT